ATTGTCGCGGACACTGATTACGACAATGCCTGTTTGCTTGATGAGCAGTATGTGAGAACGTTTGTTCCCACGTCTCCTTTGCCAGCTGTTGATTCAGAAGAGAAAGTTGCAGCAGCTGGTTTCTAACCGCTATCTCCGTGTCAGAGATCCAGGTACTTTCACTGCTCCGTGGGTTAAATCCTAGCAACGATTCTTTCGTCCATTTCATTCATCCCAATTTGTTATATGAGTTGGCAAATGGACTCGCAACTTAGTTGTTTGAGAAGTCTTTTGCAACCTGCGTCCTACCTACTGGCTTGAAGGAGCTGTCCTAAACCCTGTTTTTAAGAAGGGTGATAGGCACACTGCCCTGTAGATGATAGGCCCATGAATTTAACAAGCAGGCCGGTTAAACTACTTCCTGACCTGGTGAGAGAGCCTCACAAACCACTATAGGGCGTTTGGTCCTCACAGCCCGCTCCGACACTGTTTTCACTGGGTTTATTCGTGTCTGTCCAACTTTCAGGTTGTTCTTGGGCGGCGGGCAGAGGCTGTCGACCAGGTTCAAGCGACGTACTTTTCATTGCTTTCGCAAAAATAACTCTGGCACCGTCCCACATTCCCGTGTCTCTCTTAATGTGCGTTCTTACGGCGTCTCTGGACACGCTGTTCGATGGTTATGAGCATTTCTCGACGGGTGAGGGATGTATGTCCTGGTGGGCTCCAGCCTTTCCTTTCGGCAGGTTCTGAGTGTTGTTCTACAAAAGTCAATCCTCGGTCCACTGTTGTTCGCCGTGTATGTGAACAAATTACCGGCAGTGTTGGAGGTTCTGACCCTCATGTTTGCCGACGACTTGAAGTGCTGGTGCACGGCGAACGATCCAGATGGCTCTCAGGCTCTGCAGCAAACTGTTAACAGACTTCTAGACCGGTCCATTTTGTGGCAGATGCCGATAAGTCAGGCTAACTTATCGGTTCTTTGCATAGGATTTAATGGTCCGATGACGCACTGCATATTTGATGGGAACAAAATATCTCATGTATCCCGCCGACAGGTTGACTTGCTTGTCAAGCTATCATCCGACCTTAAATTCATTGAAATTTGGAAAAAGGCAGCCTGCAAGTTTCCGAACCTTCTGCACGATCCCTAAATGCTGGAGGGTTTTAACGGAACAAATGTTTCTCAGATTGTTTAAAACCTTTGTTACACGGCGCCTGGAGGGCCGCGTCCAGGCTTCTCTTCCCTACTTAACTTGTGGGAAGGTGGCGGTAGAACAGGTTTTAAGGGTCGGGACTAAAATGGTTTGTTCGTTGTGCACATATCGCACCCTGCCCTGTTGCTCAAATTGGGGATGTTCTCGTTACACTATCGGCGTTGTCGTGGAGATTTGATTCCCACTTCTCGCATCTTGACGGGATGGATCGGTCCAGATCTATCTTGTCTCTCTCATCCGACTCAGTTGTTAAATCCTCGTGGGCATCCGAATAAGTTTGCACAAACTCCGGTCTGATTGGGTTCGCGCTAACAATTCTTTGTCACGTAGAGTGCTAGACTCTTGGAGCGCGTCCTACTGTTCTCGCTTCTCATCTTTGCAACTTGCGGTCCGTATATCTGTTGGTTGTTTTCTATTCTGCACTGAAGTTGTGGACACGTGCAGGTGACCTGCGTCTTTTGTCTGCTTATTCGCATGCTGCTGAGCCTTTACTACTAACATACTCTGAGCAAGCATGGGGTTGAAGGGGCCAGTAATTGCTGGAGATAGATTAGCTGTGTGGAACCAGATCTGAGCGTTATTCAGGCGCCTGAGTTTGAGTGCACTTGTTTGATTTTTTCCAGTGGTTCTTTATCCAGTGCCTTTCAGTGGCGTTTCATTTTATCTTTACTGTATGAGATGACTCGTATGCCACCATGCGACCAGCGTTTTTTATATCTTTCTGGTGCTATGGAATACCGCATGCTTCTAAACTCTCTCCATTAATTAAGATGCCGCTCTGATTTACCTACCATTGAACAGTGTCTAGATGTATTCTACTCTATACCTTTTCTCAGCCTAGTGCATCCATGAGGCTTTCAAATTCCCCCTGAAGGAAATCATGTTCGTGCACAGATCTTTCGAAATGGTCCTTAACGTTATCATTCGGCATCCAACGGGCGCAAATGACCCTAAATGCTACTGTTCATTGAGTGACCAATCCAAAATCAGCCAATAGCATTCAACTCTATGCACGCATCTGTTATACTATCGGCTGATTTGAGATTGTTTACTCAACGAACAGTGCGCATTTTAAAATGTGTTTACGCCCGTTAAATGCGACTTGATAGAGAGAAAGGAACATGCAATTATCTGCGAAAAGGTATAGAGATGCACGGGCCAACCTGCTAGATTTCATTGGTGCTGTCGATGACACCGTTCATTCGGTACAGTGTTTGTTGTCACGGCGAAAGTTGAGCCAGGTATCTTCGACGTCAGCCGTGACAACTAGCTCGCATTAGACGCTTCAGTTGGAGCGGAATGAATGACCATGTAGAGATCCGTTCGTACCGTTCCATTGTCTGCTTCGGGTTACTTAGATATCCCACATGATCTGTGTGACAAGCGCGATTTCCTCAGTTTGTTGGTCTCCAACTACTTGCTTCGGCAGACGAACAGTGCTCTGTCGATTAATACTTCTGAACTGTTCCCGCGGATGTTGGCACGTAGGGAAATCAAGGATATGCTGGGAGATGGGGCTTGGGACCATTTGCCACCGGGTTTCGTGCGACATGTTCTGAAATCCTCCTGGACAGCCTCCTCTCAGTTCGGTCCACGTACCTGCTACTGCAAGTACAATGGAAAAGGTGGATGCAGGGGGCGATAACTAGAGTCTGACCTGTCCGGGTCGGATTTCCAGAACAACCTTCTAACTTGATAGAGCTGTACTAGCTCGGCCTCAAAATAGCATTTCTTGCTGGACTGGTGATGCAGATTATTCTGTTGAAATGTTTCTTCTTGCTCTTTTGAAGTTTGTGAAAGGAACTTCTTATATGAACTAGAGTTTTAGCACCGCCTATGTCTCACCTGGTAGGGAATAAAACTATTAATGGCACGCAGCCGAAACCAGCGGACGATTTATGTACCTAATTGTTTGGATTCAGATGTTAGTTGCTCAAGCATTAAATAAGTCACAACCTAATAAACAGCAAAGGAACCTTTTTGTTTTTATTGCAACAAATGTTCCTTTCATCTTCTGTTGATCTCCATGCTTTTGGATGGCTTTGTCTATCAAGATCTGGAGGCATGTGGATGGAAACCACGTTTCATTGGCGGAGCGGGCCCCCACTCCTTCGACATGCACAGTAGCAGCATTTCTTACCATCTAATTTTGGAGTCGCGCCTATCAGACGTATACAGGGCGGTGGCTGTGCCGTAGCCCCTTCTACACCGGCTACGTGGAACCATTCTTAAGCCAAGCATGGTCACGAAGACCGTGCACCACAGGAGGGTGTTAGACAGGTAGGCGCCTAGTCAACATTCACATCAAGCGTAGCGATACCGGGGATATCAATTACCAGCCAACATCTGAAATACAAGAAACTCAAACACGCATGCACACACATACAGACCAACTGCAGCGACGCTGTACCCCTGGAGAAAGTAAGAATTGCCTTGGCAATCCACTGTTTTGGCGATTAATCGATTATTAACGATTATCGCATCGATTTCGAACTTTCCGGTATGTTTTACTTCTGCACGTGATTAAAAACCACCTGATACCTCGGCAAAAGGTATGGGAAACCACTAACCTTGGTAGCTGACCTTCCAATTCTAGAGGTCGTAGGTCAGTAGAGACCTATAAATACAGCCAAGGTCCGTAGTAGTTGTAGTGTTCCTTGGCGGCGATTAATACGTTATTTTGTCAAGGTCATTGGCGTTTTGCTTTCTCCTTCGGTTGGGCTAGAAGTTTTGTGAAGCAGTAAATTGTTATTTTTGGAATTGCGTGGGGACCTCCACCATACGTGTCCCAACACTAGGCATCGTGGGAATCTTGGTTTGCCCATAGATCCGCCGTCAGCAATGTTGTGGAGAGGAAAGCGGGAAAAAAGGCCGCCCAGAAGTACAGGGCGTGATATGCCTCGGAGAGTGGGCCAATTGACCCGGTCCGACCTTGTGCAGGGGACTGCCAACCATCTCTCCTTTTCTGACGCACGGACAACGGGTCGTGCCATTTCAACTTAAAGCGAAATTGCACGAAAATCACATTTCACAACCATCTGACCACATATGACGGTGCATAAATACTCTCAGCGGAGACGCGTGCGAAATGGAACAGATGCAATCTAGGTGATGCCATAGGAAACCGACGGATCAAGAACGTTTAGAACAGGATAAAGTAAGGTGAGATTGTAAGTAGTATCAAATGTATGCGAAATCGCTAGCCGGCTGACAATCTGCCAGGACTCACGGGGACATCGAAATCGATGTGACTTTGCGACCAAGTGAAGCGCCGTGTCAAGTAGTGTTGAATAAGATTTGGAGAACATTATTTTCATGATTAAAAGGGTTAGGTAATTGGAAACATCTTAGTTCTGAAAGCAGAGGCGCAACACATGCGCGTTACCTTATCCACCGGTAATGGATGGATAGCGTTTCGGAGAGCTAGGAGGCGGCTGTTGTGAATGAAGCCAATTTATGTGATGGTGCAGGAATGAGATCATGTTCGCGGGAAGGAGAAGGTAACAGCACATCGTTACTGTCGGTTAATGGTGTATCCAGCGAAACATGTCCATCGTCTTTTGCACTTGAACCAGGGATTCGAGAGGTTCGAACCGAGGCCACCTTCGCACTAAGAGCCTTCCTTCCTCCTCATCACGTCGTCGGTTGGTCTCCAATTTTCTTCCTCTATCCGCACCCCGGTCCCGCGAACAACGCTCGTCGCGGGGAATTGCAGTGCTGGCATACGCAACATGTGGACACTATTTCGAGAGTACACTTATGCACACTTTTGGTTAATTTTTCCCTAGTGTTGTAGTCCACTTACCGCTACTTGTGGTGCGCGAACAGTAGAATAGGAATGCGAGGAAGTGGAAGTCTACTGGTTAGGCTCACCTGGAGTCCGATATTTTCCATCGGAGTCTTATACTGATCGTATTTACCATAGACGGGATTGGCGGCAGCCAAAACAGAGCATCGAGCATTCAGTTTGGCTTGTATGCCGGCCTTGGCAATGGTGACCCGTCCCTGTTCCATGACCTCGTGAATAGCAGTACGGTCGATATCGGACATCTTGTCAAATTCATCAATACAAACAATGCCTCGGTCGGCCAAAACAGTGGCACCAGCTTCAAGACTGCGTTCACCTGAAGGAAGAAAACCCGTAGTACGGTTAACAATTAACCATTCTATTGGCAAACGAGGCTTAAAGAGAGAGAAGACTGCTTTTAAACAGCATAAGTAAAAGAAATCACTGGTCACATGGGGCCGCTGTGGCGACGTCCCGCTGACGCACAGTCATCGACAAGAGTGGAAGAGAAAGATAGAACGAGCTGAAACATAGGCCGATACAGTAAGTTGGATTCTTAGAAACGGAAAACTGACAAATATAAGGCTAACGCAGCACATGATGTTGTTACAGCGACCAGTGGATCGGCGAAGTAGGGAAGACATAAATTCTGGCGAAATTAACGAAAAGCCTGCCGTTATGAGCGCAGGCTACTAAAACCTTCCTCATCTGAATGCCGTTAAATTGAAATACACTTCGTAAAAGAGACGCCTCATGGATTCCAAAAAGTTGAAAGTATTCCACTTGGAGTTGCAGATTTGCCCTAAGATAGAACACGGATGTCCCGTTCAATACCGGTGAGGAAAATAAAGTGCGGAAGTATGGATCAAACAGAGCGGTTGCTGTCATCAAGAAGAAATGACGGTTTTTTCCGACTAAATGCAGCTTGAGAAGATCAACATAAAATGAAAAAGCATAGTCACCCGGTGGGCAATGTCTGTGAGACGGTCTAACTGAGGAAAGTTTAAAAGGGAGCACATATGTATTCCGCGGTTTCGTTTAGAGGGAGCGCACGAGTCTGTGGACACAAAAGCCCCTCTTCTAGTCTAGTTGAGCAATCACGATCTGAATATCAAACTGCGGTGCATGCAGGTTCCAAAATGAATGTTGTCATGAAAGTAACAATCAAGCAACAATGGTGAGCAAAATGAAGCGGAATACAAAGCAGTATACAATGGGGTTGTGAAAAAGGTTGAAAATATTAAACAGACTGCAGAAGATCGAATGCAAGAGTAACGCTGGGTGAGGTCTGTTACCACTGATACGGCCTACGTTGAGGCTCTTGTCCGGGAATGGGACACATACCAGGTTAATTGTCACCCAGTCAATTTTCGCATATCATTTTGCCACCTCATCGACTGGATACCCTGCGGCTTGGCCCAAGTGGATGTGTGACAGTGAAATATGCGTGCCGAGTTAGATGGTCTGTGGACATACAATGGAAAATTTTACCCCACCTCCGTCGCCAGGAAAAGTCTGTTGTAGCCTTCTATGTATCGCGAATGTTGGGCTTTAGCCCAACCGCTCGAATCAAAACAGAAGCCGAAGCACGTTAACAAGGAACACTCTCTTGCGAGAAGACAAAACGAGGTACATAGAGGCGATTTCATTGGTTTATGAAGTCCTACACAATGACTTTGAAACCGTAAATCTGGGAAACTGTCATTGGTTGAGTCAAGGTCACGATCATGGGACAAGCGAATCATATTCGAGCCAAATAGCTGGAAGCTGCATCCGACCGATCTCGTTCGAGTCCGCCTCTCCTAACACAGATGAAGTATATGACTTATACACAACCTGAGGTCCAATAGTAACAGATACTCCAGTGTGGCACCAGAAGACATGATCCAATCGACGGTCGACCGGCGGCCAAAAGGGTTGCACGTCTGCATGGCAATCCGGAGGTCGTCGGCTCGAATCTGAACAGATGCCAGCGACCTCCTGTTATGCCCAGCCCACGCGCGACCGGTGGTGGTCGCGTGACAGCGAAGCGCCGGTGCAGTGTGTAGGCGTACTGCGGATGCCTACTTTTTATGGGCCGTGGTACGAACGCACCGGTGGACAAAGAGTATTGGTCTGTTAATGCCCTCAGTGTGTAGTGAGCATGCTTCTGAACCAATCAGTGAGATCGACCTAACCGCTTTGGAGTGATACTCAACCGTCTTGATGGATACTTGAGGCTTTCGAAAATAGGTTGGCTTAGCTGGTATGTGCAGTGACGTAACAATCAGACATGCAACAACCACCTAGATAAACGAACCAATAAACCGATTCGAGTGGTTACTGGGTGATAAAGTTGGTGATGTGTCGGCCCAATCTTGCAAAGGTAGCTTAAATTTCGTATGTGTCAATCACGCGCCGAAACATACAGCACTCTGTGTCGAAGTACGCAAAAGGATGCACCTGATCACAGGGAAGCTGTCTTTCTCTCGTACTCTAAACTTGCTAGCGCGTCGGTCGGCAGAGCTTCCACTCCAGTCAGCCGAGTGGTTCAGGCATTTGGTTTGTAGTTCACAGGTCCAGAATTCGAGCCTGCGTAATTGCGGGCGATCTCGCAGTACCCTTAGCCAGCACGCGACTGTTAGTGGTGGTCGCGTGATGCACATGACTTGTTGTTACGAACACAGCAAACAGCTTCCCACAGACAGACACGGAGTAGCGGTAGAAGGATGACAGAAAAGAAGGGTTTCCCTGGCGCGTCTCTCAAGGATTACCAGTCACAAAGCTGGTGCGATTAACTAGGCTGAAGGCGGTTTCTAAGTCGTGGAAAACCAGCATGCTGGACCAACCGTAAGTGTGTGTTACTGTTTCAGCACTTAAAGAAGCGTATGTGGTCAATGAGTCCTCGGCCAAGGAGGAAGAGAAGTTGGCTTTTACCTATCTGACTCACTTGAGGAGGAGCGAGTCGCCGCAGTATGATGTTTGTGAGCAGCTTCGAAATAGCGTAAAGGTATGAGACAATTTCCTAAGATGGGGATGATGATTGGCAGCCGATAAGCTGAAGTCACTGTTTAAGTGCCCACATAGTGTTGAACAGAAAAGACTTTGCCAGCTACTAGTGAGTCCGTCGTTTTTCATTAAAATTGGAGGAGGGAGGGTTCAAGAGCTTTGCCACATTCGAAGGGAGTCAGCTTACACTGAATTTATCCCAAACTGAGTGACTGAAATCATCCGTTCATGCTAGTTAGAGTGATTCAGGAAACGATGCCAAGCACATGCCGAAGCGTGCAGCGCTACGTGTCGGTCTGTGCAGTAGTGTTTGTATAGCCAATGCATAAGACCCAAGGAGAGTTATGTCGTCCACAAACTCCAGGTTTGCTAGTCGATCACTTGGCAAAACTTCCGACTGGCCCACACTCCTTCAACATGCACAGAAGCAGCATTCCTGTCAATCTAATTTGGGAATCATGTATACTAGACGTACACAAGGCGATGGCTGGGCCGTAACTCGTTCCACACTGGATGCATGGAACCACTCTTCGAGTCCAGCAGGGTCACAAAGACCGTGCATCCCGTATCCCCTAGTAACGACCAACTGTCTCCTGAAGGCAGTATAACCGAGATATCGGATTTTCGACAGGCAGACACCTTGGAAAGATTTATGTTAACGCAACCACGCCAGGGATATCAAACAGCAAACGCGTAATATGACAGAGAATAAACACACAAACTGGACAGTAGATGTACGGCAGTATAACAAAACAGCAAATAACAAAATGTGTATTTCGTCTGATCTAGCGTAATAGTGGCTTAGCCAAGTGTAAGTCAGGGGATAACAATCGAATAACACCGAAAGGATAAAAATATACGAGGAGAATACACGGAGGATTATCAGAACTGGGCAAATAAAATAAAGTGGGTTCAGTTAGATGTAGTGCAATGCGAAACAAGCGTGTCAGTTACTCTAGCCCAGGGTTGTGCAAACTTTCGCAAGGAGGGCCACATTTTGTGAGGTAAAAGTATATCGTCAACGAATCACGGGCAATGCTGATTTTCAGCACAGCAAATATTCCCATTGTAATCAGATGAATCAAGACCAGAAATCAGTTCAGGGTTAAGAATTCTTTTCGGTAAACTCTCTTCAGACCCAAACGTTTACATAACACTGATTGTGTGGGGTAAGCGTCAAATCGGGCTGGGATTGCTTTCTAAGCTGTTTGAACGGTCAAGATCGATGAATAAATGAGGCTACAGATGGGAAGAAAAGTACACTAAAGGGAAATTAATACACAAGCTGCGACAGTCTAAATTAAATAGGTAAGGTCACCAAGGGAATTAAGTAACCACGTCAGTGGGCCACCGTAGTAGTATCGGCCGTATACAAACGTTTATGTACACATAATTTGGACTTCAGATGGTGGATGTAAATAGCGTCGGCAATAGACAAGATTTGTTTTCGGAAGCCTTGCGAGAAGCGTTCAGGTAATGAGTAGATGACTTTAAGGTCATTCTCAGATGCAGTATGTAGAAGTCATCTGCAACTCGGACGGCTCATGTAGCAGAAAGGTACACGGAAAGCATATGTGGACTGGACAGTACACAAACTTTCACAGCACAAGAGGAGTTTAATCCGATCTCTTGCCTTCAGGGCGCGCTGTATTGGCACTCCGGATACCGTGAACGAAGAGCTATAGAGTATCAGCGACGCCTTTCGGGAAAATGATTACCCCGATAGGTTTACCATGAAGCATCTAAAAGAACGAAAGCGAAAGTCATCTAGGAGCATTGCTCCCAAAAATGAGCTGTTCATACAATTGCCATTTAAGAGAGATACTGCAGCTGATATCTTATCTCGACGTCTGAAAGATGCTGTTGCGAAAAATTATTTCGCAGCCCACTTGAGAATTGTTTACCACAACAAGCCACTGCTCGCAAAACCCTTGAGAGATAGTCTGCCTTCGTTGACCCGTTCAACGCTCGTTTATCAGTACTCGTGCTCCTGTGGAGCACGATACGTGGGTCCCACAATGAGACACCTATCCCAGAGGATTCGCGAGCACATCCCGGCGTGGATTTACAAAGGCGGAATGAGGTCCTCAGACAGCTCAATCATGTCGCACTTCCTCGAATGCGACCATATTGCATCTGAGAATGACCTTAAAGTTATCTACTCACTACCTGAACGCTTCTCACAAGGCTTCCGAAAACAAATCTTGTCTATTGCCGACGCTATTTACATCCACCATCTGAAGTCCAAATTATGTGTACATAAACGTTTGTATACGGCCGATACTACTACGGTGGCCCACTGACGTGGTTACTTAATTCCCTTGGTGACCTTACCTATTTACTTTAGACGGTCGCAGCTTGTGTATTAATTTCCCTTTAGTGTACTTTTCTTCCCATCTGTAGCTGCATTTATTCATCAATCTTGACCGTTCAAACAGCTTAGAAAGCAATCCCAGCCCGATTTGACGCTTACCCCTCACAATCAGTGTTATGTAAACGTTTGGGTCCGAGGAGAGTTTACCGAAAAATATATGTCGGGACATATTCAGTCGGACATTAGGATAATAACAAAAAATGCGTGTCAGAAATTTTTATTTCAAGTTTTTAATGTGTAGGGTGAAACCGAGAACGAGCTCTTCATTTTTGATTTAGTTAGAGCCTGTTTAGTAGAGACACTAGATTGTCTTTTCCTAGTTAGTTAAAAATAAACAGTACATAATGGATTTTTGCCAGCAGCTGACGTTATTGAATGTTATATTCATAACATCCTTAATTTTTTGTACTGTGTATAATATCGTCTATATGAAAGAAATCCAAGCTTGAATTTACTATTTTATGATGAGGCCGCGGATCAGTTGAAATGTTAATGCGGGCCGCATGTGGCCCGGGGCCGGACGTTAAATATCTTTGCTCTAGCCGAATTGCAGTGAAGAGGCATAATAAAAGCAAAATCAACCTCACCCGCCGACCTTGCAACGACAGTGGAGATCCGCAGATATGCGATTACTCGCCGGGATTCATACGAATAGACTGCTTCGAACATGTCATCCGAAGACAATATCGACACCGTAGGTAGCCCGAACCGTCAACGTGTTAGCGCCAGTGAGCCGGAGAATACAGTCAGTATCGACAGAGTACGAGCTAATGTTAAAAAATTCCCTAACACGCTACTATTTCGTATACGTGTTTCGGGAATACAACACAAGATTCCAAAGACTGAGCTGACAGAAGGTGCGGATTATTGAGGAAACAACGTGAAAAGAAGCGTCGGTCTGATTGACGATTTAAATACGTCATTAGCATTAGTTGAGAAATCACGACAGTCTCTCGCTGGTTAAGCTGGAAGGAGAAACAGAACATGAACAGTACTGGAGGCGGGTTCAAGTGATAGATAATACTTTACGTTCGCGTCTTCCAATTGGAATTACTCATTGAACTCTGACATGTCCAGAGGGCAGTAAGCAAGTTTGAAACGGTATCCTGAGGTAAAAATAATAGTAAAATACTGTGTCAGCTATACGCCGTAACGGCGCTTCGCTGCCGTGTGACCACCATCAATCGCACGCGGGCTGAGTATACCGCGAGGACGCCCACCCCTACGTGGATTCGAACCCGCGCCACAAGATTACGAGACAAGCTCGTAAGCTCTAGGCTACGGGTCCTGAGGTGCCAACAATCGAGAAGCAGGGAGCCAATGGAGCTCCAACTTATTCAACTGGGGGCTCATGTTCATAAAACAATGAATGTCCTTGGTTTGCCTGCTCTCACCTACGACAAAATGCATTACAGTGAAAAGGTAACGGGATACATGTACCCAAAAGAGGCACAACCGGGACCCAGGGTTCTACCCAAGTTGGTCGTCAGCGGTTCGTACAACCTCAGTAAAGTATATCGTGGCAGTACAGACGAAATAGGTACGCAAGCACCGGATTAAACAGAAGCGCATTGGGTAGGAATAGAACGTGAACAGGAGACAACATGGTGCACGTTCGGCACCGAAACAAGACATGATGAGATAGCGGAGCCGGCAGACTCTGCCAATGGTGTGAACGGAGTTGTCAGGCGGAACTTGGATGAGGGAACGAATGTGAGTTAGTGGACATTTGTACGACTCCCTTCACAATTACATAATTCGAAGTCTAGAAGAGCACAGAGGACCATAGAGAGGAATAGGGTTGAAAATAGTAGAAGCGATTGACAGCTGGGCCTCTCTTTCCTATTAAATAAGATACACATAGGTTTTCAGTGGCAGATCAGAGAAGTACGAAGTTGGTGGGTTGTTCATGGAAAGAAGAATCGACCAGTGCATGCGACAGCTGGATAATGGCAATGGGGATATTAGTGGAAAAATGGAGTCAAAACTCAGAAGGAAATGAACCATACCTGTCTCCATATCTGTAGTGACGGCTGCAGTCAAACCGACACCAGATGATCCCCTGCCCGTAGTTGCTATAGCCCGATGAGCCACATGCAGAACGAATCTGAGAAATTGTGACTTGGCAACAGATGGATCGCCCATTAGTAGCAGGTTGATGTCCCCTCGAATACGAGATCCGTTTGACAATTGACGCTCGACTCCACCGAGAAGGAGGAGAAGAATTGCACGCTTGATTTGCTCGTGGCCGTGGATGGACGGAGCAATCGATCGGGTCAAGAGAGACAGTACGTCCTACGACGGGAGAGAATAAGTTTTCAGAATTCCGATGGCAAATAACAAGGACCACAACAGCAGCAACAACAACAGCAACAGACGAATGCAGTGATGAAGCGAACGGAAACGAATTCAAAAGATGTTTGAAGAGCTACAAAAATTAAGTAGATGGCATGGGGGTCCGTTCAGAAAGCGGATGATAAATTCGGCCCTCTGAAGTGACCTGCGGTTGAGAGATTGGTCCGCTTGATTAAATAGTGAGTATGAAAGGACGCTCCTCGTAACACACTATGCTGTAATTCTCTACAGAAGGCATTTAGACGAGTGTGAAGTCAAAAAGAAGAGCAAAGTGCTTGGTGAAGATTCAGACGCAATTTGCATCGATACTCTCTCGCAATAATTGAACCCAATACCGAGCGGCTAATGAGGATCGTGTCAGACGCATTCGGCCTTTACTTTGAGGCATGCTTCTCAAAAAAACATTACCGAAGGATGCTGGCATTGGGAATTCTGTTCGATTCTCTGCAGTCTGTATATCACTCACTGGTAACATGTCATAAGGGGATGATGCATAGAAACGCGCGAGTTCATAGTATAGGCTTAAGGCGGAGTGAGTTGTACCATCATAAGTATCCATACTCGCAACACACCATTGACTTGGATACCGCTGCTGAGTACCAGATAGAGAATGTGTCTACGCATAAATTAAAATACTTGATAAAGCTGAGTCAGTAGAGTTTGTGAGCATGTAAGACGATTCGTAACTGCAAAAGAGAGGAGAGTTCGAGAAGGGACGGCGGAACCTTAAGGGGACTCGACTACAAAGGTGAAAAACGGTATGTACCGACCAATGTCGATGGATGCAGCAACCCATAGTCTGATATAGGATCAAACCCAACATTGTGCGAATGAGACGAGGTATCACATATCAGCATCCGAGGACAATTCAGCACGGCACCATCAAGGGAATCGGAAAGTCCAACGTCCACTGAAATGATCACAACGTGACATGACAAAAGTAACTCGTTCCAAAATGGGGTTGTGCGCCTTCGTATGGCTGTTTACCGAGGCCAATAGCGCATTCAAGGGCGATCACCTCTAGTTGCACAGGCAAGTCATCGGCAAGCTAGATAACCTACAAATCCGCTAAATGATGAGAATGTACTGGAAGTAACAACCGGCAAATCGGAAGTACAACGTGTTAGTGACGACGGGCAGCAAGGAGTGTGAAAAGTGGAACCTTTGATCAGTAGACGGGCAGTCATTATAAACAACAACAGTAATTTGAACTGAAGCGTCGTTGCCACACTACCACAATGACCGAGGGAACGAAAAACAATAAGAAGTGGAGAAGGGGAACATAAGGTAAAACCTAAGGCAACCAGGATCGATGCCTAAACCCTTTCAACATACGGTTAGAAACAGCTGGCAACCGTGCGAAGATAAGATGGTATCAGCGAAACAGCTCGCTTACAGTTTTCACGCGTTACGGTGATACAGTTGGGGTGAGACAAATGATGGTTGTACCGCATACCAATCTCATAAAAGCGAAGCACGAATCAGTCAGGCTGCCGTTTATTGTGGGGGTTAACACAACGACACATATCGTAGGTAACCTAAACCACAGCCAAGATGAGAGTTGGTGATCAAAATCCGAAGAGGAGAGTACTCGCTTGTAAACCAGCAACCAAACATCTCAATGATCGGAGTCCATGTGATTGTCAGATAAACACAAATAGTAGCTGTTTGCAGTCACATCCCCGTCATGCGCAATAGCCCCATGTTAAGGAAAACGCTCAGAGTGGTCACGTTGCTCGTCTTAAAAAGAGAAATGTATAGAGTGCACTCGTACGCATGTTGGACACAGAAAGTTACGACGTGCGTTGCGTAACCGTAAGTGGCTGTTTCGACTCACTGGTATTTAGTGAGCCGACCGTGCCGAGGCTAGACGCGTCAGATCCCGCAGAAGTGGGATGCTTCCCGGCCCCAAGGTTGAATCCTTGTTGGTAAATTGGATTCCCGCGAACAACCGGTTTCATATCGACTAACGTTCGAGTAGGCCGCAGTGTCACATGTTGCCTGTGGTTGTTGTCCGTGCCTAGGTCGACCGTAACTTCGGGGAGGCTGAAGATGCTTTCTACCACGAAGTCGGTGCTCGCTATTCAGTGGTATTATTAACATCATCATCATAGCCCTTAAAGAGTTCCTGTTGATGGTAACAAAACTACGCATATGAGTCATCCAACCTTCCTAAAAGAACTTAGGCAGATGACGAGCGTTTATTACAATTGTGCGGCCGTTTCTAAGAACTGCAACCCTCAGGAGTAATGGATTCAGGTACGCCACTTGGCGTCCTCTTGGCTGTGGAGGCAGCGATGGACCGAAAAAGATCATATATCGCCACATATTTTAAATGACTTGGTTTAATCTGTGATGGCCCCTCCGTTCAAACACGACAATTGTCGATTTTGCTTCACATTGGCATGAAAATAATGCAACCGACCGATTTGTAGCATCCAATGGTTAAAAAACCATTGAGATGTCGTGTGCGCTCAGCAAGCACTCGTTTACTGTTGGGGCATGGAATTCCAATGGGGTAAGATTCCTGCCGCAACGTATGGCGTCGATAACTGGATGCCCAGAGCGCCATTGAATGCGATGGTATTCGGTCAAAGCAGTCAGTTTGCCAACGAGTATAATGCTACTGGATGAGTATCAGGAAAGAGATAAGAGAGAATCAATAAGCAGATGGAGGAGCTTGATGGCTCTAGAATAAACTGATTTCGTTAGTAAATCAACCAGGGAAAACGCCAATGCAACCATTCACAACACATCATGTCGCCTAGTTGGCTGAACACAGCATATTCAGGAACAGTTTTACCATTTTCCCGTCCAAAAGAGGAAATGTACAGAAGCTGCAAAGGTTAAATTATGACTGGTTAATCCACGGGCTTCGTTTGAATCTGGGATAAGAAACATGATCTCAATCCTAAATAGTTTAGATCAGAATCCATATTCTTTAGTATTCTCGAAACATAACAGTGGGGGCAAAGCCTTCTTCAAAAAATGGATTCATTAGGTCAAGTATGTTATAAGCTCGTGTCAGCCAACTGAGGCGCAACTCACGAGTCGTAGCATTTCTGTCAACTAGGAAAGCAGCAACAACAACAGGCAGCCAAGTGCTAGTGATGACAAAGTCACCGGTTTCTAGTCTAGCTCATCACGATGCCGGGAAAATAGAATCCCGGAGGAGTGGTTGAGTTTTCAACTAGAATCAGGCGGTATAGAAAATAATGGCACTACCGGGTGTTTTGTTAATGTGGTCCGGAGCTAGGAGCGACTGCACTCAGGTGCTGACGTACAACCGGTACGCTGAATTGCTAACTGTCCAATGGCATAAATTGCTTTGCCGGCAGGAGTGAGATGGGACACAGACGCCACATGTGTGCCTACGATCGCAGAGTACACACTGTGAGAAGTGAACGTTAACCAGACACTACAGCCGCAATGAATGCGTCATGCCTCGACCGCATGGCAAGACCTACGGAACGCACGCCGTTCAGCTGTGAGAACTGGACGTGAGCCGGACACCACATAGCCGCACTGTACGTATCATGCGTCGATCGATCGGTAGTCGGCCTTCATGTAGGAGAAAAGCCAACAAATGGGTTTCCTGCGAAGGGTGTCGCTGTGCTAGCAACTGAGAAAAACATCTTGGCCGTATGTGGTGACCGGTCGACGTGCGCCGTATTGCTATCGCCACAAAAGCTGTTATCGCCTCATGACTGGCTTTCAACAAACCCGTAAGCTTTAATTAGGCTACTTTCACTGCTAAAGGGAATCATACTGCCAGCAGCACATTGTAAGGTTACAGTGTTGTTCGCTTTACCGTTTCGATCGCGTGTGTGTTACAGCTGAAAATTCACCTTTCATGAGTTCATAAAAACGAATTCTTGACAACGCTCTTAGATTTCAGTCTGCGGCACAATAGCTGAGGTGTTTTCCACCTCCAGCTAACGTGTAATGATGATGATGATGACGACGCAATAATGGCACCATTAGGCAGCATACCAATTTAGTCATGAATACAACTATTGCCCTCACAGTCAGACAACTGATAGTTGTAAAAATTGATCAGGCCTTCGATGGTGTTTCCCATGAATACACATTTCTTCACAAATTCAGCTATCTTTATTTTTAGCATTCCCGTCCGTTTCCCAAAATGCGAAACTCCTATAAAGAAGTCTTGTCCAACTGCCGCATACAGCTTGGGCATGGAGTAATCACCCCCACCACCCAGGTTGAAGTTGGCATAGTCGCCGCAGGGTAACAAGCAAAATGAAGACCCCAGGCAAACAGTGAGTTTAAGGTAACAACATTTCCGCGGCATAATCTCTTAGTTGTGACCGTTGCTGTCAAACATCCTTCGCTACGGAGAAATTGCCTGACACAGTGAATTACCCCAATAAAGCTGCTTGTAGTAAGTTGTGATGTATCTCTTATTAGCCCGCTACAGTCCATCTCGACCATCTGAGTTCCTTCGCATGCGCGAACAAATGCGTGCTATGGAGTTGACGGTAGGCTCCTGGATCGCCGCTTCGTCAGTGAGAGGACAGCTGTCATCAGTTCTAATACAAAGCATTTGGCTAGAAAACCCGGCTGTAAGACAGTGGAGATATGAACACGTTAAACAAAATAGGCCACCGTAACTTTAACCCATTGGCCTTGTGAATTTGAAGTTGTTTGACTTCTATCCGCTGGCGAATATGGTAGGAGTAACTTCAAAGGCGTCCGCCAAAGCCCTACCCAGTATGGCTTATTTGGTCGGAGAAATGCAACCCGCCAACCATGCTAAGGTTTGATTCTCTTGTAACAGGTAAGACTATGGAGCGTTAGCCTGTAGAAGTCCAGCAGGATTAGTGAAAAAGTCCGATAAGCAGAGACACGGATCGATGAATTCAAAAACTCACAGGTAGTGTGGTTGGCAAAAACGCACATTAGGTAGTGAGTGAAATTAGCTCAGCCGACTTTCCTACACCATGTGAATAGATCTAGCCCCGGAGGAAGGTAACCAATGTAGTGATTTGTAGCAAGGGCTCTAGATCCGTACCTCAGAATTATATATCCACTAGTATGACAAATAGGGTTAGCGAATAAGTAATCGTCAATTACTTGGCCGCAGCGGAACAGTATGGCCTCGACAAAAAGTCATGCAAAGTTATCGTGCTTGAAAGACGGGGAAAATCGATGCCTCAATGGTGGAGTAGCAACCAGCTGACTTTGATAAAATTTATATTTAAGTAAATCATCATCACTCTCATTGCAAAGTTTGACCCGGGTTGAAGTCCACTTTCGAGCATAAAGTTAGAAGTCGGAAATTTTCCGTGAGAGTGTATTCGTTCTTGGAGAAGGGCTAATACCTTAAGATTAAGGTGATAAAGTTACTGCTGTATTTCGTGTCTATAACCGAACTAATTTCGTCATGAAGAGTTCTAAACAAGGTTGCAGATTCGTAAATTTGATGAAGTAACCAAATCAGTAGACTCGTGGGATTCGTTCGCAAATGCTTACTCTTGAACTCCAGCGGTGATGGAATTAGTTTGAAAACTTCCGTTGAGTCACCAATATTGCGGTTGCATTGATAAAACACGGGAACTAGGTGCCAAGCTGGCGAAGAACTCTAAGCTATCGGTGCACAGTAACATGAGGTTAACGGACTACGAAAGATATGTGGACTCAAAGGGTTGCGACGCAGAACGGAACACTGTGCTCATATGTTTTAGTAGAGATGCGTTTAGTTCACATACAAATTAATGAGTTTAAGTTTGGCCGCTATATCTCCGGAATGCTGTTGTAGAGAGTACATATACTAGCCATCCGAATGAGTGAAGATTAATGTGAAAGGTTGTGTGAAAATCAGCCAAATAGTGCAGACTTGTTTGCAATGAAATGGCGCAGATAAGAAGTTCCGATAGAAGTCATCATCAGCATCATTGTACACGTTAACTGCAGGTGGAGAACACTTCAACTATTGTACTGCAATATTAAAGAACAGAAAAAATAACATACGAGAATTACGCCGGCTGAGTCACCAGTAACCGATGCACATGGTTCCGGAGAGCTAACAGCTAGTTAATTGTGTCGATAGAAAAATTCAAACTTATGTAGGAGCTCAGTGGTGTTAAGCCCATCAATTTCTTTGACCAGCAACGTCAGAGTAGTAACCGGGATATCGTGTAAAACTCCAGCGAGAAACCAAAAATGGATATAGGGGAGAACGTTTTATGAAGCGCGTATCAAGTAGTTGGAACAAACTTTTATGGTTAAGCACGATGTGATGATGTAGGAACTTTTAAAAGTGGGATGAACATAAATTGGCCAAACCCATCCCGGAATTACCGTAGCAATGTTAAGGTCGAATCTAGGTGACTTCCGTCGAGAGACGATGTCTGGGGAATTTTTGTGCATGTAGCAGTAGTTGCATTGGTTCTGCGATAACAAGGACGAGTAACAAAACGGAACGCTCGTTAAGTGAAAAACTGTGTCGGTCCTGGAGACCGAACCGGAACAACGCTACGAAGAGGCGATAGCCTAAGATAGACACAGTTCGGTTGCGAAATAAGGGAAGCGAGCGGTATGCGAACAGGCATGGTCAGTGTCTACACAAACATCGGACACTACATACGGATGAAACACTGCTAAAACACCCAGGTTCGCGCAGGCTTCGAGTAGCGGATAATTTCATATACGAATTAAGATCCGATGAACCAAAAGTTCAACACTGGTCACCGAAAGGTGATGCTGACCGGCAGAAGAAACAAGAAAAAATAGGGAAAAGAGTGGGCAGCTTACATTCCGTTTGGAAATAAGTCGCATCATACTGATGTCCTTGTCAGAGAAGCTCGGTCCAGAATCCTTGCTCAACGATTGTATATTGTTTGCTATCAATACTGTTCGGAAGTTAGCCGAGGTGAATCCATTCTTTTTGCCGGGGAGACAGCGATACTGACCAACAACCTGAACGCGATCACCAGGCTGTAAGATAGAACATGTGTTAGTATATTGTAGTGGGTATTCGAACTGACAGGACGTCAATTTACCTGTACGGCATCGACCAGATCACTGTCTAGCAGGACGTCTACAGATCGAGGCAACTGCCCAGCAGGAGCAGTCTCGGGCATTTCTTGGATTGTGAGAGTTTGGTGGTCTTGATAAACAGACAGCCCGTATTCTGTTTCCAATAAGTTCCCGTCGTCATCTCGAGTGGGGTAGACGCCAGAAGAAGGGTATGCCTCCAAACTCGTAAGATCGGCGTACCGCTTTTCAATGGATTTTTTAGTGGCTGGGCAGTAGTGGACGCTACAAACGACTTTTGGTCGGATAAGTGACGCTAAAGCGTGTGAGCCGAGCGATGAATTGTATCCTACCTTTTGTGACAATCCCTTCCAAACAGACAATCGAACCGAGTAGTTTTGAACTCAGAGTCCTTGGAGTGACATGTCTAGACCCAAAACTAAAAAGTAGTAAAGTGAGCTGATGGTGAGTTACCTGCCCTCGAAACCAACAAAAAAATCATGCTTTCCTTTGGCAAAGTCGGGGTTCACATTTTGGATGCATCTTCTCAGAGCCCTTTGGCAAGCCACAAGTTCAGTTGAGGAATCTTTTAACAGTCTACAAACGTCAAGGTAACAAGGTATAATCTTACTTTTTGCATCGTGCGGGATTCTCACGACGCAGATCATTTACGTTAATTATCAGACGAACAGCGTCACGGGTGATCAAGGAGTTAATTCGGTCTTTGTACTCATCCTAACGATAAGAGCAGGATGACAGAGATGATCCAGACGTACGGTATCATCCAGAAAGTCCAGATATTCCCTCTCACTATCGATTACAGACTGGTGAATAGTTTGGTCCATCTAAAGTTGTGATGTGCAGGAATCCGAAGAGGTGGAGTAATTCCAATTAGCTAAAATGGAGAGGGAATTGTCACATTAGTCAAAGTCAGTATTGCAAACTAACAATGAGAAAAAGCGAGCGGCGAATATCATGTATCGGCCCGAGCCAAAGTGCACAGAGGCGAGCTAAGAAAAGATAACACAACCAAACAGCTGAAGGGATTAGGCAATATGCACAGGGATCACAGAAGTATGATGATGGGACCCAGGTCAAGGTAGTTTGCCGTTTACGTGAGCGAAGCTCTGAGTCGGCCAGATCGACGGTTGGACTCCACCATTTGTGCACCATTTCCAACAAGAGCTCGAAGGTAACTGCTACATTATCGACCACGAGCTGCTTAGGTATGCCTTTCGAAATCAATGAGCTCGACATTTGCCACGTGAGCCGCACCTTGCCGTTTCCTACTGACCTACAGCACATTTCAGAATCGAATAATGTTGTTTCTGACGGCCCTTTTCACGTCTCTGCAACTCGCATCTCTGGACAAGTAATCGATCTGTCTGCCTTGGCTACGAGCCAGAAAACTCACAAGGATTGCCAATCGCCGTAGTAGGTTCTCCTTTGGAAGTGGCACCGTACCCACCACCATCATCTGATGGTAGTATCCTTTGCGGCACGTCCACCGGACATCCTCGTCCAGTCGTTCCATAGTCTTTTCGACGCATTATTCTAGATACAATTTCGTTCGTCCAGATATTAAGACTACTGCTAAGCTAGTTCTAGAGCGACAGGTCTGGCTTGGGACGCAAAACGACATCAGGCTCTGGAAACCTAGTTGCACAATCTGTCAGAAGGCCAAGGTTAAACAACACGTCTGCTCTAGCTGGCTATACTTCTCCAGTTTTCGCTCGTTTTGCACATGTCCATCTCGACATAGTTGAACCATTAGCACTAGCTGGGGGAACAGCCTACATCCTAAGTATAACGGATCGATTCACACATTGGCTTGCAGCTATTCCGACTCCCTACGTCGCAGATGAAGCAGTTACACGAGTTTTTGTCGATCGCTGGGTCGCCGCTCACGATTGACCCGTAACCGTGACCACCGATGGAGTCTCAGTTTAAACCTAGCAGAGAGACACTAAAAGTGATAGGAACTCATCACATTCGCACTATGACCTATCACCCTGCTTCAAATGGTGTGGTCGAATGTGTTCACAGACAGTTCAAGTCGTCCTTCAGTGTGGCTAATGCATTCAACTAAACAAATGCCTTAGCGGTGATACTGCTTGGCATTCGCTCAGCAATCAAAAGACTTACAAACCTCCAGCACCGAACTTGACTATGGACAATCCCTACAATCTTTTTGGGATTTGTTATCCTGTGTCACAATATCTCGTCGCTACGACGCTACTTATGCTCAACAACTACCAAGGTGCATTTAGTTCGACTGAATAAACCCAGGGAACCCAAGCGTAAAGCTTTCGTTCCCCAAGACCTTCATCGTTGTTCGCGTTGACGGCTTCCGCAGACTCTTAGAGCGTCTATACGAAGGGCCATCTAAGGCAATCCATCACTAAGAATGATTATCCACTATCGAACACCTCGGAAAACGTGAAACAGTTAGCATCGGTCGACTCAAAGTAGCTCATCTCGAATCTGACGATAAGATCGGTCATCAGTTACGCAACTTTCAGCCGAACCGGATAGCACATAATCTGCGGTGCGACGCTGTTCCAAAATCGACTGCGTTCACAACAGAACTTCAAAAGTCGACCACGTCCGGTAGACGAGATTGACATCATTTCCTTTATTCACTCTTATTTCCTTCCTGGCCAGATCGAAACGCAAAAATAGCAAAATGTGCTGAAAAGTTATCATCTTATCGTATTGGTAAGTGCCGTTAATTTGTTCTGATGATTTTCGCATGCTTAACATCAAGCCTTTTAGTACTTCGCCCCATTATCAATCCTAAAATGTAAAAAAGTACCGGACATTACGTGGTCAAGCATCATGTGATCGAACACTGCGTTCTTCCACTTGTTAGAACTCATAGGGTCTTCCCGCTAAGGTCTGATCACACTGGTGCTCTCTCAGCAGCTGCATGAAGTTTGACCAGTTTGTCTAGCAGAATGTCTGAGGACGGACGACGGACGATCTTTACATGGATAGAAGGGTCACCCGGTTCCCTTTTAGGACGGAGCCGTGTAATGGCATGGGGATTTCCTCTTACGGCTGCCGCATGATGCACAAAATTTTCCAAATTTTAGGTTTATTTCGTACCCATGAAAAGTAGACAGTTTGTGATATTGATCACTTTTTTTACACACAAGGTGCGTTTGAAACGTTTAGTGTACCGTACCGTGTTAAAAACCGGGCTGGTTAGGACGAGGGACCCGCAGATACGTATTGAGAGACGATGTCAACAAGTCTTCCTACCATGTAAATCCCCGAAATGAAGCAGCAGTGAACGCTGCGACAAAGCTAACGAAGTCAAGGTGAGAAATCGTGTCATTGCAAAATGGAGCAACGGATTAAGATGAAATTTTGCTTCATATTGGACAAAACGGCGACGGAGACTTATGAAATGTTAGTGCAAGTGTACGGTGTTGAGGCAGCAAGTAAAAAGTGTGTGACTGAGTGACAAACGCTTTAGAGACGGAAAGGTACGGAAAATGAGCAGTGTATGAGTCGACCGTCAAAAAGTGTAATACCAAACAACACCGAACGAGTGCGACGGATGATTTCGGATGATCGGTGGATGTCTTTGAGAATGGTAGCAGAAGAGTTGAAAATAGGCAGCTAGCATAAACAGTATTATTCACGAACATAAAAAAGCGGATGATTGGTGCCTGGTTTGTACTGCACACGCTGACAGACGAGCAGAAGCAAACTCAGATAGAGATGTCTGGAGACCGGAATCCGCAGTTTTTAGAAAGGATCATTATAGGAGATGAGATCTGGTGCCGCCAATACGATTCGGAGATCAAGGGGCAGTCAATGACATGGTTGCCATCGTCTTCCTCACCTCCCAAAAGTCAGTTGACAAAATCCAAGAGCAAGACAGTGTCGATCGCCTTTTCGATAGCAAGGGCTTGATTCATCATGGATTTCTACTGGGAGGTCAAACTAACAACTCAGAAGTTTTCGAGGGAGTTTTGAAACGGATGCTACAATGCATCCGGCGGTTTCGGCCAGAATTGTACCGGAGTGGACAGTGGGATTCCCTCCACGACGATGCCCACCCGCACACCGCGATCCGCGTGATCAAATTTCTCGCTCGACGCAAAGCGACTTCTTCAACACCACCAACCCCATCCTTACTCTTCAGATTTGGCGTTGGCAGACCTATTTTTGTTCCCACCACAAATTAGCCCTGAAAGGCTTACGCTTTACAGGCGTTGGGGGATATCCAACAAGGCGTGAGCATATGCTTCGAATGATTCTGCAGGAAGCGTTTGCATCGCTCAAAGTGAGTTGTAAAAAGAAAGAAAAAAGCATCAGCAGTACGCCGGGACGCAGTAGCAACGCTTCGATGCCGCGCAAGCACCACCAGTGGCGCGTGAGCTAAGCTTACTGCAAGGGTCGACCAAACCCTGGTGATTAATCCGAGGGCTAGCAAAGATATTTTGTTTGTAACTCTTGTTTTCCTTATTCTCGGAGGCCATTTACCGAACTTTTCAGACGCACCTTGTACATACACACATACGGGCGCGAACCGAATGCTGCGCGCTACGCTCCAGGAACATTCTTCCTTGTCTCCCCCATGGCTAGATCTTAGTGATCATTAGCCTAGCGAGACTGTACGTTTTCCCACTAAACACATACCCGTCTAATTTGTTTGACCTTTTGCTTTTTTCAAAACCATCGGTTGCGTTGTACGAGCATGGTGTGTAACGATGGACTGGGCAATACCCGTAATTAGGTAATTCTGACATCCATATTAATTGGGAAAGGATCCATGGTAGACCCAAACTAGCAGTGGTGGAATTTTGACCACGTGTACTGGTGGTGCATAGGTTAGAATAAGCTTGACGGGCTAACGCGCAGGCGTAGGTTGAAGAACTGAGGTGCATCAGTGAAATGAGCATTGCATTCAAAGGGGGGCGCGGCTTTAAAACCGTTAGAGCGCCGCCCTTGTAACCACTATCAGATGTCTCACCTCCGAGAACGACCTGAACGAGTGTGCAGATTGTAGACGCTGAAAGTTGATCACTGGGCACAGTAATCACTGTAAGCAAAGCAGCTAGATGAGCTGCTATGTAAGGCAACAGGATAAGGAATTTGTTGCTGTTGCGACTGGGGCCGAATATGTCGTTGATGAGGGTGAGGTGGCCCTGGAAGGTCTGATTAGCATGTGAATGAATCGCGTGCTGAAACGTCGTCGAGTGTTTGAGAGACCACACCCGCAGTCGTTCTCATTAGCAGCAGCGGAGCCATGAACACTAATAGCCTGTGGACTACGACGATTGGAAACTAAGGCAGGGGTGTCAGCCGAAGCTCTTGGGGCCGTAGTACATTACGCGGCTAAGGGTTCATGATAGGTGGAGTGGACGGATGAGCTAAGGCAAGCATCTTTCTAAGTTGTGTTTAATCGTGTACTCAAAGCATGAGCAGTATAAACAACTGCGCATTCACCGCTCTTGTTGATGAACTGGGAGGACGAAATGAGCAAATGTTTTACTGTTCAATTCAAGTACGGAATGGTACAAGTACCCCCCATTTCCATTGGTATCGGGCTAGAAAAAGCGCTTGTTTCCAAATGGACAGAGTTGTACTGACGGAAAGAAATGGAGCAGCATGAGTATAATCATTGAGTAACCGGACCCTGCTCGTCACATCAGTTATGTACTTGTGGCAGTGTGGGGATTTCCCTGGTTCATCTGATCTTGTTTGCAAGATTCCAACATTATTATCATCGCATTACACACGTCGCATTGTTTGTTGATTTCGAATTGGTCGAAAATCTTGTAACCAGGTGGCCGGTGGGTGATAGAGTACACGACCTTGGGGTAAAACCGGTCGAATAAAACGTAATAAAAATATGAATGTGGAGACCGTTAAGCATTGT